TGCCACCTGATGGCCTGTCAGTGCAGCGAGCAGAAAGGTCTGTGTGAAGACTGATTAGTGACAGTCCCAATGCAGAGAAGCTCATATGACCCCAGTGTGGTGATTGGCATTGCCGCTGTGCTGAACTGATGCACAGATTCCTGCAGCAGTAGGCCAACAATCTGTCTCTGGAGGAGAACAGCAGTCCCCCTGTGTTCAACTCTCATTCACGCAGAGAGAGAGCCAGTCTCTTGATGTAGAATATATCTGCTACCCCAGCATCCTTCTGGTTCACCAGCTCTCTAGTAGTTGTAGTTCAATCAACACTCAGAAATACAGTATGTATTGGCTATCAGACTATAGGGCTCAGGATCCTCTGCTGTCAGAAGAACTAGGTCCCGCTCTGCTAACAGGAAGTGATGTAGCAGTCCCAGTCCTGGGTACTAGGGGGAAAATGTCCTTTAAATGCATAATCATATAGCTGGAACCTGGCTACAACAGCAATACATAGGCATGTGTCATGTTCCCTGCTAATAAGGAAACATTTTTTTACTCTACCATGAGGCGCTACTTATAGCCCACTGGACCCCCTTTTTTTTTGCCTAATTTTCATCTTCCCTTTGACTCCAATGCATTTTACAAAGATGTCATAAATGCATAAAAATGCCAGATGTTTGCAAAAAAAATTTGTCAACCAAAAACTCCTAGTTTCACTTGTGAGTACATAAAACATGCATACCAGGTTTAAATAGATTCCTGTAGCATATTGAGGCTTAATTTCACAAAATTAAAGGTATGTAGAGGAACATTGTTCTTAGTGCTAGAATATTTAACGTGTCATGCATGCTCATTACATAAGGTGAGCATACACATCAATAACAAAATCAATCTTTGAAATTCAATCTATTAGCATAAATTAACAGAGATTATCTAGAACTCTGTGCAAAACCTTTTTTCTATTTTTCAGTCTTAATCGTACTGAGGCAGGGCTTGATCTTCCAACATTTATTAGTGCTGCCTGACCTTAGAGGGGAAATCTCCTCCAATCCTTCATCCTGCTCTGACAGCCAGGGCTCAGCTGTGGAAACACAGTAGGACACCAGCACCTGCCTTGTGGAATATTCATAGAAATATGTGAAGGATGCATCCCAAGAGACAAAAAAATGATGTCTACTTACAGCTGAGGCCTAACTGTTAGTGCACAACTTGGAGGGTCATAGACAGAACTAAAAACACTAAAAAAGCAATTTATCAACGCCTTCTCCATTCAATGAACCAAAGACATTTTGGCTGGATTTAACAATCTTAATTCAAAATGTTTCATTCAACAGCTAGGCAGTAAAGCACTATTCACAATTAATGGTAAAGTTCTTTGCTGATGTGATGAACTACAGGTATAGTGCATTTTTATGTGTTATCATTCAGTGCTATCCAGGGGCGGACTGACAACTCATGGGGCCCCTGGGCAATAGGGGATCATGGGGCCCCTGTGTCCTTTCCCACACTCAAAGCACACCCAAAAAAGCCTATAAAAGGTACCAGGGGCATTTCATGGGGCCCCCTACTGACTCTGGGGCCCTCGGGGGGTGCCCGAGTGTTCGAATGGTCAGTCCGCCCCTGGTGCTATCTAATGTGTTTGTTGCTCAAAACTACACCAAAGATGTAACTTGCAGGACTACAGTATTTCCATTCACAGTGCACCTGGAATGTACATGTGTCAATAGAGCCTAAATTGCCAGTAAATAACGATGGGGTCTCTGTGATGGTTACACACTCTCAGTTTCACTCTGGACAGCTCACAGGACTACCAGGTAAGCACCAATAGACTAAGAATTATTGTCACTGAGGCAGATTACCTAAACATATAACCAGCAGCAGCAGCACCGTTCACATCATTCACTATCACAAATCTGTATCACTTGCTGCCACATTTAGATAGGATTGTAAAAGAGTTTAATGATTTTAAAATATAATTTTAATGAAAAGAAAAAAAAGGTACTACAAAACAGATATAAACAACAGTAGCTATAACTGTTTAAAAGTAAAACATACTTAAGTAGAGTCTGCCTGATCTTTGGTTCAGTGCAGAGTTTGGATCACTTAAAGAGTAAGGCTGCTCACAGATGGGTCATTGTTTTTCAATTAGTCAGCAGGATGATCAAAAAGAAAAACAGACTCTTCTGCTGTCATAATATACTGGTCAGTGCTGTAGTTGGTTGGCTGCAGCTGCAGATCAAATTAAAAATTTCCAACATTCTAGTTTGTCAAAAGTACATTGACTTCTGTTGAGCAGGTTTCACCATAGATGGATCAAACTCTGACTGGTCCCTTCTGCCAAATTTTGATCCATCTATGGTCACCTTATAGCGATTTTAAACCCTAATTTTTCTTTTTTTTTTAATAACAAACATGTTATGCTTACCTGCTCTGTGCAATGGTGATCCTTGCCCCTCCTACCTTCCATGTACCCCCAAGCAAACCGTTTGCTGGGGGGATACTTATATGCGCTAACACTCTCGAGCCTTCACTGCATCCATAGACACAGACAGCAGGGACCTCATCATAAGATTTGATTGACAGTAGCAGCAGCCAATGGCTCCCACTGCTATCAATCTTCACTGTGAGGAGGGAGAGGTAGGTGTTAGCTGAATCGAGATTGGGCTCAGGTAAGTATAAGGGGGGCTGGGGGGGGGGGGGGGAATCCAGGATACAGAAAATGCATTAAGGTAAAGAAAAAAAAATAAACCTTTGGAACCACGTTAAGATCAATCTGATGCTTCAAGAGTCACAATAATCCTAATAAAAACTAACTCCATTCAATCAGAGTCTGGGGGTGAGTTATTGGTTTACTGAAGTGTGTTATTATGCCCAGCAGTCATACCCTAATGCCAACTATTCTGGGCACATCAATATTTCCACATTACAAAGTTTCCCAACCTACAAACCAGCATATTATTTAGCAGAATAAAATTATAACTGTGTATGATACCAAACAGGTTATATTTCTGATGTTGTTTCTCCTAGGAGGTCTAATGTGTTTTACTACTGAAACAATGATTAAGAATATTTGCATTATATTCACTCTCACATACACCCAAGTTTATTAACACTTTGAAAACAGCCTTAGTTCAAAGTACCACTAAACCTGTGTAGAGATCTGCTGCCCTCTACTGTCTGTTTGTGACTGTGATGCAGAGGTTATTTATGTACAACACTTCCTGTCTCTGGGGACTGGCTTGTAAACCCCAGAAGGAGGAAGGGGAGAGAGATAGTATGACATCAAATATCCTGTTCATGGGAAAGCTGAAATAGGACATATCTCTGTCCTGCTTTTATTATCTGATATTCACTGTGCCAGATAGCTACAGTTTTGCTCCCAAGTTTGCATACCATGGCAGAAATCATGAAATTTTGACATTGATATTCAAAATATGACTGATCATGCCAAAAAATATCTTTTATTTAACCATTTGCTCTCTGAAAGATTCTACTACTTTCCTGACCAGGACATTTTTTGCTATACCACACTGCGTTACTTTAACTGACAAATATGCAGGCGTCCAACACTGTACCCACAAATGATATCATTGTATTCACACAAATAGAGCTTTCTTTTGGTGGTATTTGATCACCACTGGGGTTTTTATTTTTTGCTCTATAAATGAAAATACCGACAATTTTGAAAATAATTTTTTTTTTACTTTCTGTTATAAAACAAATCCAATAAAAAAATTAAAAAAAAAAAAAATTGTTTTCATAAATTTAGGCCAAAATGTATTCTGCTATATATTTTAGATCAAAATATCCCGATAAGTGTGTATTTATTGGTTTATAAAAATTAAATAGCATCTACAAACTATGGGATATATACTGGAATTTTTATATATTTATTTTTTATACTAGTTTGTCGGCGATCAGTGACTAATAGCAGGACTGTAATAGTACGGTGGTCAATCTGATACTAACTGACACTAACTTACACTTTGTGGGAACCAGTGACACTAATAGGGGTCAGTGCTAATAGTATATTGTTCTAATGACACTAATGACATTGGTTGGGAAGGGGTTAACATCTAGGGCCAATCAAAGGGTTAAGTGCATGCCTACAGTGCTTTTTTAGTGTACTTTTAATAGGGGATGAGCTGGTTTTTATTCCCTGCTTTGCAGGGAAACAAAAATCGGCACATCCCTACTGACAGGGTACAGTTGTGTATTGTTTACATACATAGAGCTCTGTCTTGTCAGCTGGTCACGGTCACTGATTGGCTTGTGCTGTGTCTAATCACATCACAGCTGGGATGGTGCACGCCCCCAGAAAAGCTGTATCACGTACTAGGCACATGATCCAACGCAGGAGAATCAGCTTGATGCCGCACATGTAAGTGATGTGGTCAGCAAGCAGTTAAGGATATTGATCATATAAAGCCATTTATTATCGCATAGTTGTTTGGCTCATAATGATAACATAAATCACCCAAATGGACCTGATCAAAAGTTTTCATACCCTGGAATGTTTGGCCTTGGTACAGACACATAAGTTGGCAATAAAAGGTTAATTTCCCACATCTGTGACTTTTTAAATTGCAATTAGTGTCTGTGTATAAATAGCTAATGGGTTTGTTAGCTCTCATGTGGATGCACTGAGCAGGCTAGATTGTAGTAGCCATGGGGAGCAGAAAAGAACTGTCAAAAGACCTGCATAACAAGATAGTGGAACATTTAAAGATGGACAAGGATATAAAAAGATATCAAAGCCTTTAATATGCCAGTCAGTTCTGTTTATTCACTTATTAGAAAGTGAAAAATGTGGGGATCTCTTGATACCAAGCCAAGGTCAGGTGGACCAATAAAGATTGCAGCCACAACTGCCAGAAGAATTGTTCAGGATAGAGATGAGCGAATTATTCAAAAATTCGATTCGGCTGATTCGGCGAATTCGCGGAATAAATTCGATTCGAGTCGAATATATTCGCTGCGAATTTAACTTATAAAAAAGGGTGTTTCTAGGCTTCAGAGAGCCTTTATATTAGTGCAGAACACTGTACCTTTAATTTAAATGCCCTTGGAGTCTGCTGGGGAAGAGAAATAATACTGTCAGTCAGTATGACATGCAGATGAGTGCCGTCGATCTTAGAATCACCGCACACTTCACTCATTTGGGCAGTCACGGGGCCAAAACCAGAGTGTGGAGCCACAGTGTGGCGGTGGAGGCAGCAGCAATGGGAGGCCATACAGCACCCTATGACAAAATGGAACCCACCAGCAGTGTGAGGAGACCTGAAAGTGGCACATGGCAGAGTGTGGCGATGGAGACAGCAGCAATGGGAGGCCGTACAGGGACCCATGACACACTCTGGACCTGGCAGCAGCATGCGGAGGCAGTACAGGGGCCCATGACAGATTACGGGCCTGGCAGCAGCATGAGGAGTCTGTACGGGGGCCCATGGCAGATTACGGGCCTGGCAGCAGCAATGGGAGGCCCGTAATCTGCCAGCACCCTATGACAAAATGGAACCCACCAGCAGTGTGAGGAGACCTGAAAGTGGCACATGGCAGAGTGTGGCGATGGAGACAGCAGCAATGGGAGGCCATACAGGGACCCATGACACACTCTGGACCTGGCAGCAGCAAGAGGAGGCGGTACAGGGGCCCATGGCAGAGTGGCGAAGCGTAAGCAGCTTAAATTGAAGGCCATACAGAGGCCTATGTTAAAAATAATAACATGTTTGGGGCATGATTCATGGCGGATTTAGTCAGTTGTGTCAGGAACTGGTGGTTTGAAATCCAGACTAATCCACGCCTGATTCATTTTCACAAACGTGAGTCTCTCCACACTTTGGGTGGACAGTCGTGTCCTCCGCGGAGTTACAATACCTCCTGCCGCACTAAACACGCGCTCCGATACCAGGCTACTGGCCGGGCATGACAGCCTTTCAAGGGCAAATTCAGCTAGTTGGGGCCAAAGGTCAAGTTTCGTTGCCCAGTAGTCAAGGGGATTGTCTACCTCGGTTGGCAGGGTGCTGTCCAAGTAGGCCCAAGCCTGTTGTTTGAGGTCCTGCTCCAGGTCCACCTGATGCTGCTGCTGCTGCGGCTGGTTAGTAGTTTCCTCACTGCGCTGGTGAAGAAAGCTACTCATCATCGACTGCAGACTGAGGCAGCCGCTGCTGGTGGAGCTGCCACTGCTCCTACCACCCCACCCCTCCCCTGCTGCCATGGCAGCGGAACGCGAGCGCACAGGGCCCACAGTGTCTGAGGATGGACGTTGGCGCAGAAAGGCAGAGACCAACTGACTACATAGGTGGTTTTTATAGTACGTTATTTTGGCCTCCCTCTCAGCAGGTGTGAAAAAGGCCACCATTTTTGAACAGTAGCGAGGGTCCAACAAGGTGGACAGCCAAAAGTCATCCCTCTGTCTGATGGTTATTATTCGGCTGTCGCTACGCAAGCAACCGAGCATGCTATGGGCCATTTGTGCCAAGGAATGCGAGGGACTCCCTGCCTCCATCTCCACAGCATACTGCCACGGTGCGTCTGGGTCCTCTGTCTCCTCCTCCTCCTCTACCAGATGCTCCTGCTCCTCCACTCCTGTCCGCTGAGTGGAAAAACCACCCATTTCACTCAATAATTCCTGAGCACCAATGTCCTCCTCTACCTCCTCCTCTTCTTCCTGTCCTGCCGTCACAGGGGTCATGTGGCGTTGAAATCTGTGCGCCACGTCTACCGCACCCTGACCAGCCATTGTTAACAGCATTTGTTCCAGGACGTGCAACAGAGGAATGACGTCGTTCATCCCATAGTCCTGCCGACTCACGAATAGCGTGGCCTCCTCAAAGGGCCTGAGCAAGCGCAGGTGTCACGCATGAGCTGCCAATGGCTGACATCAAAGTTACACAGGGGAGTACCTTTATCCGCTTGTAACATCAGGAAATCTGTGATGGCCTTTCGCTGTTCGTAAAGGCGGTCTAACATATGTAGGGTTGAATTCCACCTTGTTGCAACGTCACAGCATGAGGAGTCGGTACGGGGGCCCATGGCAGATTACGGGCCTGGCAGCAGCAATGGGAGGCCCGTAATCTGCCAGCACCCTATGACAAAATGGAACCCACCAGCAGTGTGAGGAGACCTGAAAGTGGCACATGGAAGAGTGTGGCGATGGAGACAGCAGCAATGGGAGGCCGTACAGGGACCCATGACACACTCTGGACCTGGCAGCAGCATGAGGAGGCGGTACAGGGGCCCATGACAGATTACGGGCCTGGCAGCAGCAATGGGAGGCCCGTAATCTGCCAGCACCCTATGACAAAATGGAACCCACCAGCAGTGTGAGGAGACCTGAAAGTGGCACATGGCAGAGTGTGGCGATGGAGACAGCAGCAATGGGAGGCCGTACAGGGACCCATGACACACTCTGGACCTGGCAGCAGCATGAGGAGGCGGTACAGGGGCCCATGACAGATTACGGGCCTGGCAGCAGCAATGGGGGGCCCGTAATCTGCCAGCACCCTATGACAAAATGGAACCCACCAGCAGTGTGAGGAGACCTGAAAGTGGCACATGGCAGAGTGTGGCGATGGAGACAGCAGCAATGGGAGGCCGTACAGGGACCCATGACACACTCTGGACCTGGCAGCAGCATGAGGAGGCGGTACAGGGGCTCATGACAGATTACGGGCCTGGCAGCAGCATGAGGAGTCTGTACGGGGGCCCATGGCAGATTACGGGCCTGGCAGCAGCAATGGGAGGCCCGTAATCTGCCAGCACCCTATGACAAAATGGAACCCACCAGCAGTGTGTGAGGAGACCTGAAAGTGGCACATGGCAGAGTGTGGCGATGGAGACAGCAGCAATGGGAGGCCGTACAGGGACCCATGACACACTCTGGACCTGGCAGCAGCATGAGGAGGCGGTACAGGTGCCCATGACAGATTACGGGCCTGGCAGCAGCATGAGGAGTCGGTACGGGGGCCCATGGCAGATTACGGGCCTGGCAGATGACGACGAGGCTGCCAAGTGCGATCAGCCTCATCATCATCAATTAGGGTCTCCGCGTCACTACTAGCCCCTCGGCTGCGTGTGGGTCAGGAGACAGACCTGTCTCTAGACCGGCTACCGAGCCACTCTCCTCGCCAGTACTTCTTCGCCTGGCTGCTGAAGAGGCGGATGTCTCCCCCCGTTCCTGACCGCCCTCTGTTAGCTCTTCCTCACTGTACAGTGGGGCTGAGCCCACAGCATGCGATACTTCGCTTGGTGAGGGAACACCAAAGGACAGGGGCAGGTAGAGGACACGTGATTTCAGTGGGCTTGCTCCCGGGCCATGCCAACTAACGGTTGTGTCTGACGTACCCCCTGACCGTTGGCTGTAGGTGTCAGAGGTGACCTGGGAAGAGGAAGACGACCGAGCCAACCAATCGATGACGGCAGGGTTGTCGGTGGAGACACGACCGCTGGATGACACCGGGAGCACTGGCCTCTGGCTGCGACTAGTGCTGCCTCGACCCCTTCCTCTGCTTCCACGTCTGCTTGCTCCTGAAACATTGCCTCCTCTGCCACTCCTCTGCGTGTTGTCTGACATACTCTTTAATTCAACTATTCTGTGTCCCTGAGTAACGATTCTGTGTCCCTGAGTAACAATTCTGTGTCCCTGAGTAACGATTCTGTGTCCCTGAGTAACAATTCTGTGTCCCTCAGTAACAATTCTGTGTCCCTGAGTAACAATTCTGTGTCCCTGAGTAACAATTCTGTGTCCCTGCGTAACAATTCTGTGTCCCTGAGTAACGATCTGTTTCCCTGAGTAACGATTCTGTGTCCCTCAGTAACAATTCTGTGTCCCTGAGTAACAATTCTGTGTCCCTGAGTAACAATTCTGAGTCCCTGAGTAACGATTCTGTGTCCCTCAGTAACAAATTCTGTGTCCCTGAGTAACAATTCTGTGTCCCTGAGTAACAATTCTGTGTCTGTCCCTGAGTAACAATTCTGTGTCCCTGAGTAACAATTCTGTGTCCCTGAGTAACAATTCTGTGTCCCTCTGTAACGATTCTGTGTCCCTCAGTAACAATTCTGTGTCCCTGAGTAAAAATTCTGTGCCCCTGAGTAACAATTCTGTCTCTGTCCCTGAGTAACAATTATGTGTCCCTCATTAACAATTCTGTGTCCCTGAGTAACGATTCTGTGTCCCTCAGTAACAATTCTGTGTCCCTGAGTAACAATTCTGTGTCCCTGAGTAACGATTCTGTGTCCCTGAGTAACGATTCTGTGTCCCTCAGTAACAATTCTGTGTCCCTGAGTAACGATTCTGTGTCCCTGAGTAACAATTCTGTGTCCCCGAGTAACAATTCTGTGTCCTGAGTAACGATTCTGGTCCCTGAGTAACAATTCTGTGTCCCTGAGTAACAATTCTGTGTCCCTGAGTAACGATTCTGTGTCCCTCAGTAACAATTCTGTGTCCCTGAGTAACAATTCTGTGTCCTGAGTAACAATTCTGTGTCTGTCCCTGAGTAACAATTCTGTGTCCCTGAGTAACAATTCTGTGTCCCTCAGTAACGATTCTGTGTCCCTCAGTAACAATTCTGTGTCCCTGAGTAAAAATTCTGTGTCCCTGAGTAACAATTCTGTGTCCCTGCGTAACAATTCTGTGTCCCTGAGTAACGATTCTGTTTCCCTGAGTAACGATTCTGTGTCCCTCAGTAACAATTCTGTGTCCCTGAGTAACGATTCTGTGTCCCTGAGTAACAATTCTGTGTCCCTGAGTAACGATTCTGTGTCCCTCAGTAACAATTCTGTGTCCCTGAGTAACAATTCTGTGTCCCTGAGTAACAATTCTGTGTCTGTCCCTGAGTAACAATTCTGTGTCCCTGAGTAACAATTCTGTGTCCCTCAGTAACGATTCTGTGTCCCTCAGTAACAATTCTGTGTCCCTGAGTAAAAATTCTGTGTCCCTGAGTAACAATTCTGTGTCTGTCCCTGAGTAACAATTATGTGTCCCTCATTAACAATTCTGTGTCCCTGAGTAACGATTCTGTGTCCCCTCAGTAACAATTCTGTGTCCCTGAGTAACAATTCTGTGTCCCTGAGTAACGATTCTGTGTCCCTGAGTAACGATTCTGTGTCCCTCAGTAACAATTCTGTGTCCCTGAGTAACGATTCTGTGTCCCTGAGTAACGATTCTGTGTCCCTGAGTAACAATTCTGTGTCCCTGAGTAACGATTCTGTGTCCCTGAGTAACAATTCTGTGTCCCTGAGTAACGATTCTGTGTCCCTCAGTAACAATTCTGTGTCCCTGAGTAACAATTCTGTGTCCTGAGTAACAATTCTGTGTCCCTGAGTAACAATTCTGTGTCCCTGAGTAACAATTCTGTGTCCTGAGTAACAATTCTGTGTCTGTCCCTGAGTAACAATTCTGTGTCCCTGAGTAACAATTCTGTGTCCCTCAGTAACGATTCTGTGTCCCTCAGTAACAATTCTGTGTCCCTGAGTAAAAATTCTGTGTCCCTGAGTAACAATTCTGTGTCCCTGCGTAACAATTCTGTGTCCCTGAGTAACGATTCTGTTTCCCTGAGTAACGATTCTGTGTCCCTCAGTAACAATTCTGTGTCCCTGAGTAACGATTCTGTGTCCCTGAGTAACAATTCTGTGTCCCTGAGTAACGATTCTGTGTCCCTCAGTAACAATTCTGTGTCCCTGAGTAACAATTCTGTGTCCCTGAGTAACAATTCTGTGTCTGTCCCTGAGTAACAATTCTGTGTCCCTGAGTAACAATTCTGTGTCCCTGAGTAACAATTCTGTGTCCCTCAGTAACGATTCTGTGTCCCTCAGTAACAATTCTGTGTCCCTGAGTAAAAATTCTGTGTCCCTGAGTAACAATTCTGTGTCTGTCCCTGAGTAACAATTATGTGTCCCTCATTAACAATTCTGTGTCCCTGAGTAACGATTCTGTGTCCCTCAGTAACAATTCTGTGTCCCTGAGTAACAATTCTGTGTCCCTGAGTAACGATTCTGTGTCCCTGAGTAACGATTCTGTGTCTGTCCCTGAGTAACAATTATGTGTCCCTCATTAACAATTCTGTGTCCCTGAGTAACGATTCTGTGTCCCTCAGTAACAATTCTGTGTCCCTGAGTAACAATTCTGTGTCCCTGAGTAACGATTCTGTGTCCCTGAGTAACGATTCTGTGTCCCTCAGTAACAATTCTGTGTCCCTGAGTAACGATTCTGTGTCCCTGAGTAACGATTCTGTGTCCCTGAGTAACAATTCTGTGTCCCTGAGTAACGATTCTGTGTCCCTGAGTAACAATTCTGTGTCCCTGAGTAACGATTCTGTGTCCCTCAGTAACAATTCTGTGTCCCTGAGTAACAATTCTGTGTCCTGAGTAACAATTCTGTGTCTGTCCCTGAGTAACAATTCTGTGTCCCTGAGTAACAATTCTGTTCCCTCAGTAACGATTCTGTGTCCCTCAGTAACAATTCTGTGTCCCTGAGTAAAAATTCTGTGTCCCTGAGTAACAATTCTGTGTCCCTGAGTAACAATTCTGTGTCCCTGAGTAACGATTCTGTGTCCCTAAGTAACGATTCTGTGTCCCTAAGTAACGATTCTGTTGCCCTAAAGTCTCTCTGGCCCTAACTCTGTCCCTAATACAGACAGGTCTGTCTCTCTTGAATGACCGGAGGCTAATGGAGAATTGTAAGATGGCCGCAATTTATAGCTCCACCATTACACAGTGCTGGCTGGCTGGCTGCTGATTGGCTAATGCGATCACATGTCATGAATGAATGCATTATGGGTCAGCGCGCCTTGTCTGCGCGCCTTCCCAGAGATCCCCGCTCCGTCGCCACACATGTCGCCGCCATTTTTGGGAAAATTCAATTCGTGCATCCGAAGTTTGCTAATTTTCGGATTCGGGCGCGATTCAAATTTTTTCCTGATCTTCGAAACGAATTCCACTTCGCCATGTTCGATTCGCTCATCTCTAGTTCAGGATGCAAATTAAAACTCCACAGGTTTTTCAGGATAGATACAGGCTGTTCAGGAAAAAAAACAGTGTGTTTTTTAATGGAGCACAATACAACAATAATACAGCAAAAATTAGCTGCATTGTCGAGTTGTCAAAAAGAGGCTTTACTGCACCAATGCCTCACAGCTTATAGTACACTGTAATCTAGAGTGACAAAACCAAAATAGATCTTTATGGTCACAACCATAAGAGCTATGAACATAAGAGGGGTCAACTTGGCCTATAGCAACAAGAATGCATCCTCACTATAAAGCGTGGTGGTTTCTGACTGAAGTTTGGTGGGGGGGGGGGCTCTAAAGGCACAGGGAATTTTTGTGAAAATTGATAGCAAGATGAATTCA